TCGCTGGTCTGTATGAAGACGAGATTTTCCCGTTGAATTTGTCTCGATGTCAAATAAAACAAAGTGATAAAATTTACTGTCATCAAATTTTTCCTTTTGAACTGTGGGTCTCGAAGTGTATTTCGGAACTGCATTTTCGTACTGTTCTTGTTGTTTCGTGACAGCAGCGGTTATATCATAAAGATCAGTGATTGAAAGTTCAGAATTGTTCAACTCCAATGTTGTCGCAGAAGAGTTTAGGTTCAGGCCAATGCCACTTCATACATGGTACCTTCTTTGCCCTTGTTTTTCGAGGTTTCTGAAATCTGGTGTTTGTGTAATTTTTATCGACGTCGCTTGAATGCAACTGTTGATTTCCTTTGTTTGTCCTTCGAACTTTTCTTGTCCATTTCCGTATTATGGTCTACAAAGAAAAGACCTGGCTCTATGTTAAGTGACGCTAGAGTTTGAGGAATGTACCTGTAACCTAAATTTACTTGAGAGACACTGCAGGACACTCGATAATCATTACTTTCACTTCCCCCGTAAAAGCGAATTTTGGGGTTCTTCGAGCCCACTACAATGTTCAGAGACTCATTATGTAGAGAATTTGCTGCAGGTGTAAATTTGTTTATAACAATATCTGTGCTATATTCATCAAAGAGAGATTTCAGGGCTGGTTGAAGGCTATCTCCTTGGAGGTCTTTGCGATAGGGAAGATCTCTGTGACAATAATGAGAAGGGTCTTTCTTGTATCGACACCATGTTTCTCTACAACCATTATGGTCACCAAATGCATGAGGCAGAATGCTTTGAATCGCAGATTTCATGTTTGTAGCATCCCCCTTATTTTGTGCAATACAGTATGTAAAGGATTTATCAAGGTAATTTATGGCTTTCTGTGACAACGCTGAACTGTTGGGGAACTTACTTCGTTGGCTCAAGTTGTATAGGCGTGATGTAAGGGATCTTTTTATGTGAACTGTATCACTCCATTTTTCAACACCATAGGGTACCTTTTGCTTTAGGTGAGATTCAGTCATTGAATCATCATCCTCGGTGTAAATTGAAAATTTGACATTTGATTAAGTTATCTTATTGAAAAGTTCAACTGCAGCTAAAGGCTCCATCGACTTTGAAGAGCCCGAATGATTTTTTCTACAGTCGTTGTCATTTGGTTGTTTCCCTGCCTTTTTAGCTTTATCACAAGAGCGGCACATTTTATTTTTTGTTGTGTAGTCAAGGACCTTACCAGTTGAAAGGCCCATGACTGCAGCATGTCCGGTCTTAGAGTTGAAACCTCGCCCCCGTTTCTGCCACCCCATGTCATAAGAACAGGCAATAGGTACCAAATTGTTCTGGTCAGGCTTGTTACCATTTTCAATTGCCTTCTCTCGTTCAAGGTTTAGGAATTGCTGGCAACTATTTTTTGCTACTAGCTCTATTGCCTTTCCAGCTTCCCTTTCCCGATTTTTAAAAGT